TGATGCCCCAGAAAACTGGAAATAGAAGCATCCCTTGCACCGAAAATCAACAGCAGTTAAGACAACATCTGCTTTTGAAAAGTTTGTCTTCTACCACATTCATTGCAACTGGTATATTTCACATCCACTGCACCTTTTTTTCTATCTCTTCTTCTTCTTTCACCTTCTTGAAAACCCAGGAAAAAATGGGGATGTAGAGAATTGAGGGCATGTGAAAAAAAATGAATCTTCGTGGTGGTGGTGGTGGAGGGGTGGCACGTCATTGTTGTGAGGTGGAAATGTGTGTCGCTGAGTACCACCGACACCATAAGTATGAGAGGTTCACACTTCACGCCAATAGGTGCCAATGTTCTTTTGGGGACAAAGTAAGAAATAACTGTACAACCTATTAAAACGCCATCATTTTGACTGGTTTTATTGGCCCATATTAAATTATTTACTATGCTAACTAAACAAAATGACGCTATTATTGGTTAACAGCATGCGGTGTTGTTTCTCCGTAACTGCACAATTATTTCTTACTTTGTCCCCAAAAGAACAATGACACCTTTTGGAGTGAAGTGTGAACCTCTCATACTTGTGGTGTCAGTGGTACTCGGCGACACACATTTCCACCTCACAACAATGACGTGCCACCCCTCCATCACCACCATGAAGATTCATTTTTTTTTTCATATGACCTCAATTCTCTACATCCCCATTTTTTTCTGGGTTTTCAAGAAGGTGAAAGAAGAAGAAGAGATAGAAAAAAAGGTGCAGTGGATGTGAAATATACCAGTTGCAATGAATGTGGTAGAAGACAAACTTTTCAAAAGCAGATGTTGTCTTAACTGCTGTTGATTTACGGTGCAAGATATGCTTCTATTTCTAGTTTTCTGGGGCAACGTTTTGGCGGGTTTGTCTTTGGGGAAGAAGTAACTGTGTGACCTATTAAAACGTCATTGTTTTGGCAGGTTTTTATTTTATTAACTAAACAAAACGACGTCATTACTTGCTAATAGCACGCGGTGCTGTTTTTCCCTAACTACAGAGGAGCTTGATGCGCTGCACCCCTGATACTTGTGGTGTCGGTGGTACTTGGCGACAAACAATTCCACCTCACAACAATGACGTGTCACCCTTCCACCCACCACCACGAAAATTCATTTTTTTTACATGACCTCAATTGTAAAATCCGGTAACTTTAAATTTTTGTAAATAAGGGCAAAACGGTAATTTTATCGCTATAGTACGGGTTAAAAAACTTGAAATTTTCTAGATCTTAGATGATAAAACGGACCTCACCGTTGGATTCGTCTCGCAAAATCTAGTTACCACGTCAAATTTCATTGAATTTTGAGATAGTTAAATTTTTTTACGTTTTACGAGACAATCGAGTCTCGAGTGACCCAAAAATAAAATTTTTGATAAAATTTTAAAATTTAAAAAATAATTTAAGACAAATTAAAATAAAAAAATATTTTAAACTTCAATCGGGTCAAAATTAAATCGTTTCGAGACAAAAACGGATCCGAAAAAAAGAGGTTGTGTGGCACAATGTGATCCAAGTAAATGAGGGTATAAAAAGGGGGAGAAATCTGATTTTTTTCCATTTTTCTTCAGCAGGTTAACGTGAGAGGGGAAGAGAGGGAAAAAGGAGGAACTTTTCACTTCTCTCTACAATCTACGACTCCACGGGCTTCGGATTCACTCGGGCCAAGAGGAAAAGTTGCACTCCTCGCCAAGGGCTACGCGATCACACCAAAACTGACGGGTTTCACCAAAGGTTGAAAAACAAGATTTTGGGAAAGTGAGGATTCAAGATTGTTTTGGGTTCTTGGAGCTTTCTAACATCGTTTTACGCTTCAAGAGGTAGGGGTTCTCCTACTTTAGTTCATTTCCCACTTATAGTGTTATATAAAATGTGTGGGTTAAAGGAAATATGTATTTCACTCAGTTATGCATATAACATGGGTGAAATGAGTATGAAAAAAAAGTACGTAAATGGATTGGAATAGATTTTCCTAGCTTGAAATTGTGATGTGAAAATTACTTGGTTAGTAATTCCATGGGAAAGGTGATTATATGAACATGCTATATGTTTTATATTATAATTTGTGAATGAGGTGAAAATCCTTGTATGATAACATGAATTGTTGCCTTAAAGATGTTTGCCAAAATGTCTATGTGTGGATTAAGTTGTTATGACATGATGATGTATCACATGCTTAGTAAATGTGTTGGAAAGAAAATGTTAATATGTGCTCATTGATATATTGACATTGTAATGATTCATGAGATTTATATGCTTATGATATAAATTGTCATGAGATATGTGGATATATGGCTAATTTGCTCATTTGACATCCATTGCATCTTGGGCATATTATAACATCGCATTTATGGGATTAGGCATGAGTGTGGGTATGTGTGGTGCATAGTTTAATCAAACACCACATATAATGGTTGATGGTGGGCTCGGAGAAGTGGAATTGAAAATTCCACTAAGTCGCACGGTTGCATGCATGGAAAATTGGGTCGGGGTAGCAAGAAGGGTTAGACTATCCCTTGGGTGAGAGACCGGTGATTAGATACGCACTCCATTGGTATAAGAGCCCAAGAAGTGTTGGTGTACGCGGAACTGTTGGTGAAAGTCCATAAATTCCGTGTCGATTGGGTGCCATATAAAGACTCGGAGATTTTAAATAGCCATTTAGAGGATAATATAAATGGCAGGAGCTAGAAGAGCTCAGTTTTATATGCATTAACATTTGCATGTGTTGAGGAGCCGGGAAAAGACTCGGGGTTAAAATGCGGGAGTGAATCTCATTTCATTCATAGCATGACATGGTAAGTTCCATGGTGAATTCCAACATGTATTACATAAATCTTGCATTGGAATGAATTTTGGTTGTGTTTTGTTGCATAATATATTGCATATGCACTTAGGTGGGGAGTAGCTCTTGTAAGAAATTTTTTACTGGGCGTTAACTCACCCTATATGGGAAACATTTCAAGTGCGGGGTTCGTACCGGGAGATGACTCGCATTCGGGGACTCGAGGGTGAAGAAAAACCGATTTGTGGCTTTTGGAAATAATTTTTGTAAAACTTTGGCTAAATGTTGTTTTGACATGTGAATTATGTAAATGCATGTAATAGAATTTGTATAGATCATGTATAATGTAGAAAATGTTATTATACATGTTTGGAATGGATTTGGAAATGTTTTGATTGGATTGGAAATGAAAAACTGATGAAAAAATGAAATTCTAAATAAAACCTACCGGTAGTTGTTGCCTACTACCGGTAGTTAACAAGTAGTACCTGTACAGCAGACAGTAACTACCGGTAACTAATAGGTAGTACCCATTTAGCAGACAACAACTACTGGTAATTAACAGGTAGTACATGTCCAGTAGGAGGAAACTACCAGTAGCTTATAGGTAGAACTTCCATCGGTAGTTATAACAAATACCTACCGGTAGCTCTTCCAAAAATCTGAAAAATCAAAAAATTGTTTTGCTAACTTTTTGAACTTTGTTTTCTTTAGTTCCAACGATACAAATGGACATTAAATGAGGTATATTAAGGTTTATTGGACCTCTGTTGAATTAAATGATTAAAGGAACACGGGTTATACGTGTAAGTTATGATCCCAGTTACAGGGCTGTGATGGACGTGATGTCGAGCCAAGCGACATTCATAAGTATTTCCGCGGGTTGACGGATGGTCAACAGGATCCCCGATTTTAGGGACGTCACATCAATTCTCTATATCCCCATTTTTTTTTATGGGTTTTCAAGTAGGTGAAAGAAGACGAAGAGATAGAAAAAAAGATGTAGTGGATGTGAAATATACCAGTTGCAATGAATGTGGTAGAAGCCAAACTTTTCAAAAGCAGATGTTGTCTTAGCTGCTGTTGATTTCCGGTGCAAGGGATGTTTCTATTTCCAATTTTTCGAGGCAACGTTTGGCGGGTTTGTCTTTGGGGAAGAAGTAACTGTGTGACCTATTAAAATGTCACCGTTTTGGCAGGTTTTTTTTGTCCAAATTTTTTATTTTGCTGACTAAATAAAATGATATTGTTACTCGCTAACAGCATGTGGTGCTATTTCTCCCTAACTACAGAGGAGCTTGATTTGTGCACCCCTCATACTTGTGGTGTCGGTGGTACTGGGTGGCACACATTTCCACCTCACAACAATGACGTGCCACCTCTCCACCACCACCACGAAGATTCATTTTTTTTTCTCATGACCTCAATTCTCTACATCCCCATTTTTTCTGGGTTTTCAAGAAGGTGAAAGAAGAATAAGAGATAGAAAAACAGGTGCAGTGTAAGTGAAATACACTAGTTGCAATGAATGTGGTAAAAGACAAACTTTTAAAAGCAGATGTTGTCTTAATTGTTGTTAATTTCCGGTGCAAGGGATGCTTCTAATTCTAGTTTTTCGGGGCAATGTTTGGCAGGTTTGTTCTTGGGGAAGAAATAACTGTGTAACCTATTAAAACGTCATCGTTTTGACATATTTTTTTTTTGTCCAAATTTTTTATTTTGTTAACTAAACAAAACGGTGTCGTTACTTGCTGACAGCACGCGGTGCTATTTCTCTCTAATTGTAGAGGAGCTTGATCCCAAGTATGAGAGGTTCACACTTCACACCAAAAGGTGTCATTGTTCTTTTGGGGACAAAGTAAAAAATAACTGTGCAACCAATTAAAATGCCATCGTTTTGACAGATTTTTTGGTCCAAATTATTTACTGTACTAACTAAACAAAACGGCGACGTTATTGGCTAACAGCGCGCGGTGTTGTCTGTCCGTAACTGCAGAGTCGCTGGACCCCATATCGTGAGCCAACTCAAGACATCCTCTGGTCATATGTGAGGGAATTTGGCGCCAAAAGTTCCCGCCAAAACAACCACCCTCAAGACCTAGAGGACTTTCCAAACGGTGACATTGATGCTCAGTCGCAGCCCCACCTCTCACACACACAGAGACTCAGTAGAGTTTCGGAACAATGGCAAGGGAACATTCAGGTGGTGGCAGTCTTCCGAGCGAGTCGTCCTCATCATCTAACCATGGAAATCCAGCATCGACGCCGGATTCCCCAACCTCCACTGGTTTCAATACCGATCAGCTTCCATTCAACACCAGCCGTACCTCCGAGAACTACTCCGATGCAGATGAAGCCGCCGTCGATCCCAACATCATCAGAGATGAGCCCGAGGAAGCTGACGAAGAGGAAGAAGGAGAGGACCTTTTCAACGACAATTACATGGAGTTAATATTTATTGCAATTCTTGTTCGTCATCTTCAAATTTCCATCCATATATATGTGCCATTGAAATCCTGTATATTGATTATTTTCTTTTGATGGGGGGAATTGGTAGCGATTATCGGCGAATGGACGAGCATGACCAGTACGAATCGTTGGGGCTGGATGACTCCCTTGAAGACGAGAGGGATTTGGATCAGATCATGGCAGATCGGAGGGCCGCGGAGACAGAACTTGACGGCAGAGATGGTCGTTTCTCTCAGCGCAAACTTCCTCAGATGCTCCACGACCAAGGTGTAAACCCTACCTTTTCATCAATAAATAAATGAAAGGGTACTCATATCCTGAAAGTTCTTCTTTTTGACAATATTTTTTGAACCCAAATGGGGTTCTAGCCCTAATCTTTTAATGATATGAAAAGTCATTAGGACCTGTCACTGGTCAGGATCGGTGGCCATACCATACCTCCAAAACAACAACAACATGCTGTTGAGAATTCAGAACTTGCCTATTCATATGCTAATATTAATATAGCTGCATCACCTAACTTTGGCACACTTTTTTGCATTTAAGTTGATCTCGTATGCAGTTAATGCTTATGATTTGGAAAATGTAAAAAGACTCTTTATGCCCACAGTCTCTACACTTCTTGAAATGTCCGCATTCTTCTAACTTGCAATCGAAGAAGGCTTCTTCCAAGAGAAAAATAGCTGTGGCCATGACGCGTCACAAGTTTTTTTGGTCCAGATAAAACTTCTACCAGCCTTCCATATTCTGTCCTGTGGCAAATAATATGTTAAGGAATGGTATTGGGAGTGACAAAAAATTTACCTGAACAGAAATTTCAACTACTAATGATTCAATTTATCCACCGTGACAACCTTGTGAATACACTATTCAAAAACTGGTCAACTTTGATCATTCATGTTCAGATTACTTATTTTGTCTAGTGTATATAATCCTACTATTCTCCAGAGGCATTTTGTGGAAACAGTTTTGAGTCACCAAGTAAATTGATTGCTCAAATGCGCTCTTTGAGTTTATAATAATCCTACATAGGACCACTTTTGTGTTTGTATGCTTGTTTAAATAGTCTTAAAGTTTTAACAGTGCTGAGAAGTAGATGGCGCGATATCTTAGAAAGCTCCAGAAAGAATAAAGCTAAACATTGCATTTTTGGTTGCAGATACCGACGATGATAATTATAGGCCATCAAAAAGAACTAGAGCTGATTTTAGGCCTCCCAACAACACAAGAAGCTTTGATGATACTGATGCAATGCAAAGTTCTCCTGGCAGATCGCAACGAGGACATTCAAGAGAGGATGTTCCCATGACGGATCAAACAGATGATGACCCATATGAGGTGTGGAGTTACCCTAGCTTAAATAATCTAGCTTTTGCAAAGAACTGAGGGTCATCTTATAAAATATTGTTAACTATTACATCATGGGTCCAATATTCAAATTCATAGGTTTTTGATGTAGGATGATGACAATGATGAAGGTGAGTTTGAGATGTATCGGGTTCAGGGAACACTGAGAGAGTGGGTTACTAGAGATGAAGTGCGCCGCTTCATTGCCAAGAAGTTCAAGGAATTCTTACTCACGTATGTGAATCCAAAGAATGAGCATAAGGACTTTGAATATCTCCAGCAGATTAATGAGATGGTGTCAGGTAAAGAACTCACTAAGAGTAGCTTTAACTTGTGAACTTCGCAGATGGATTTTTTCTGGGGGCCCAGGGGAAGGTTGCTACATAGTGCCTCTGAAGATATATTTGTCCAATTTCTTCATCTTAACTTATTCAACCTGCAGTTAACAAGTGTAGCCTCGAGATTGATTACAAACAATTCATATATATCCACCCAAATATTGCCATCTGGCTGGCAGATGCACCCCAGTCTGTCCTCGAGGTTATGGAAGAAGTTGCCAACAAGGTTATCTTTGACTTACATCCAAACTACAAACAAATTCATCAAAAAATTTATGTTCGCATTACCAATTTACCAGTTTATGATCAGATTCGCAACATAAGGTAATGTGTCAGAATCTATTACTGATGGCTAGTTTGGATTCTATACTCGAAAACATATATTTGAGAATCTAGTCCTTGCATTGTTACTTCTCAGGCAGATCCATTTAAACACCATGATTCGCATTGGGGGAGTTGTGACCCGGCGCTCTGGAGTCTTTCCCCAGTTGCAGCAAGTAAAGTATGATTGCAACAAGTGTGGAATGATTTTGGGACCCTTTTTCCAGAATTCGTATTCTGAGGTCAAAGTTGGTTCTTGCCCGGAGTGTCAGTCAAAGGGACCATTCACTGTTAATATTGAGCAGGTGAATGTTCTCATATTATTTTCTTCTGGTGAAACAGATTTGGAAAAGTCAAGTATCTGATATCTTCGTTTGTCTTTCTGCAGACGATTTACAGGAATTATCAGAAACTTACTCTCCAAGAGAGCCCTGGAATTGTGCCAGCTGGTCGACTTCCAAGACATAAGGAAGTTATACTGTTGAATGATCTGATTGATTGTGCACGCCCTGGGGAAGAGATTGTAGAACTCTCACCTTGTGAACTTGCTTACGCATAAAATAGTAATTGCCTCCTAATTTTCTCATTTAAATCCCATCTGTTTTTTTTTTTTTCAGGAGGTCACTGGCATTTATACAAACAATTTTGACTTGTCTTTGAATACAAAGAATGGATTTCCTGTCTTTGCGACTGTGATAGAAGCAAATTATGTCACAAAGAAGCAAGACCTCTTTTCAGCATACAAGCTTACTCAGGAGGACAAAGAAGAAATTGAGAAACTTGCTAAAGACCCAAATATTGGAGAAAGGGTATGCTACTTAATGCTCTTTTATCATCTATCCCCTTGTTTTTGTACCGGGAAATTTCTGCTTGTGGTTTCTGAACCCATTTAGATGACCCCACAATTTTGCTATTTAGGTTCTGCTAGGAAATATTTCTTTGAATAAATGTACATCTCGATTTAATTTCTTGTCAAGGAATTTTCATATAACAGTATCCTTAATGATATAAATTTTCAGATAATCAAGTCCATTGCTCCATCAATCTATGGCCATGAGGACATAAAGACTGCAATAGCTCTTGCAATATTTGGAGGCCAAGAGAAGAATGTTGAAGGGAAACACAGATTGCGTGGAGACATAAATGTACTCCTGCTAGGTGATCCAGGCACAGCCAAATCACAGTTCCTCAAGTAAGAGCTGTCCTAATTGATTGTAAAATAACTTGGTCTTATAATGATAACCACTTATTAACATATCCAAGATTTTCACAAGGTATGTTGAAAAGACTGGACAGAGGGCTGTCTATACAACTGGGAAAGGAGCTTCCGCTGTAGGGCTCACAGCAGCAGTGCACAAGGACCCAGTCACACGGGAATGGACCCTTGAAGGAGGTGCCCTTGTTCTGGCTGATAAAGGGATATGCCTTATTGATGAGTTTGACAAGATGAACGATCAAGACAGGTAAGTTTTGCATGTGTGGGTATATCTGTTTGTCTTCCTTAACTTTTATCTGAGTGTGGAGATGCTTACCTTTGTCAGGGTAAGTATCCATGAAGCAATGGAGCAGCAGAGCATTAGCATATCAAAGGCTGGGATTGTCACTTCTCTCCAGGCCCGTTGTTCCGTCATTGCTGCTGCAAATCCTACTGGAGGAAGGTTGCAAGAATGAGCCCCTCATCTCCTCGAATTCACATTAGATTGCACAGTTGTAGAATGAGCCACAATCTACCCCATCAATTTTTTCGACTCCATGTTTGTGTACTCCTATATGTGGGAAGGATACTTCTATTTATAGATTTGGTCATATAGATGTAATACAATGTCATGTGGTTTTGGTTTTTGTTATACTTTTTCCCTTTTCTTTTAGTACCATCTCGTTTGTAACTAATTCATTTAAATTTAATAAATTTCTGCCTACAGATATGACTCGTCAAAGACTTTCTCGCAAAATGTTGAATTGACAGATCCAATCATTTCTCGTTTTGATATATTGTGCGTTGTTAAGGTAATTTATTTATTTCCTCCGAACCTGTCACCCTTGTTTATCAATTTTTGATTTGTTATTAACAAGGAAATTGGTTGTATGCAGGATGTGGTTGACCCGGTCACAGATGAGATGCTTGCAAAGTTTGTAGTAGACAGTCATTTCAAGTCACAACCCAAAGGTGCTAACTTGGATGACAGATCTATGAGCGATCGTCAGGAAGATATTCAACCCTCTGCAGCACCGGTTGATCCTAAGGTCTCATCCTTGAGCTCTTACAGCTGTTTACCTGTTTCTGTAAAGTTTTTAATTCAATCTTTTCTTGAGCTTAGTTCAAGACTTTATCCATCTCATCAGATAATCCCTCAAGATCTGCTAAAGAAGTACATTACTTATGCCAAGTTGAATATATTCCCAAGGTTGCATGACACTGATCTTGACAAGCTCACACAAGTTTATGCTGAATTACGAAAAGAATCTTCGGTGAGGTTCTTGTACATATGTTTTGTTGAATAAATGTGAGTTTGAGGATATTTGCAAGCTGATCAAATCTCGATATACTCTATTTGATTTCTGTACACATGTAGCATGGACAAGGAGTTCCTATAGCAGTGAGGCACATAGAATCAATGATAAGGATGTCTGAAGCTAATGCAAGAATGCATCTGAGACAGCATGTCACTCAAGAAGATGTGGACATGGCAATTCGTGTCCTGCTGGATTCATTTATTTCGACACAAAAATTTGGGGTTCAAAAAGCTTTGCAAAAGGTATTAATGGATCCAACATGTCATCCTTTTCTTACAAACCTCATCTAGGTTCTTGCCAATGCTACCTTACCTGTTTGATCTTGCATTGTGTAGATTGACAACCACTGTTTTGCATGTTTTGTTTTTGATGCTATTGTCAGCGGATATATTTTATAAACTTGGCCATCTTGTTTGATGTTGCCGTGAAGAGATTTTATCAACAAAAAGCACATCAAGATTACTAGTAGATAGGACCTTGAGTGAAAACTCTTGCAATTGATGACTTTTTATTACTTCGATCTGGTACACTCAGGCATACATTGCATAGAACAAGTGGGTTGATTTAAGAGCAATATGAGTGGATACATTACATAGTTTCTGACGTCGGGCTACTTTTGTATGCTTATGCTAAGCTGGGTATGTTTATGTTTTCACTTACCACCAAGAAAGGAACTTCTTTCTACATGCTTTATAGTTTCCCAAAATCAAATAAAACTGCACTTCCCAAACACAAAAATTATAGAAACCTATTCCTTTTATGACCTTAAACAAGCTGGACCTCATGAGACTTGTCTATTCCTACTAAAGAAAGAGAAAAGTGACTTAGCTACCAGAGCAGAAGGCAGCCAGAAGGAATCCTGTACTTGCCTCTAGGAAAGATCTCTTTACTTAGGACTCTTGAACTTTAAGGTGGGCGGGAAGTAGATATTCACTGACTTAGAGACTGTCAAATAAAGCCCTTGGAACCTTTATGGCTATAGAGCTCCACAGGAGGAAGAAAGAAATTAAGACTATTTACCCAGAGGTAATTAAAGCGCCTTATTTCTCCCTTTGGGAAAAGATAATGAACCTGGTGCTTTACCAATAGAGGCATAGTTGGAGTCAAAGGTATTTGACTCTTATTCCGGCATTTGTATTCACTTCTGTCCACAGTTGTTTGGTCAACATTTGAATATCCACAACTTCATTTACATTGGGAAGAATGGACTGTAAGGATTTAAAATTTTGCCGCAGAGCTTCAAGAAGTATATGACATTCAAGAAGGATTTCAACGCGATAGTCCTGCACCTTCTACGTATACTTGTTAAGGATGCACTGCACTTTGAAGAAATCGTGTCTGGCTGTACCACCGATTTATCCCATATTGATGTGAAAGTGGAGGAGCTGCAAAGCAAGGTATTCTAAACTTCCACTTGTTTTGCTGCTTTGTAATTGTGCATGGACCATTTGTGACCTTTCATGTGCATATTCTTTACATGCAGACACTTGATTATGGAATCACCGACCTAAAGCCCTTCTTTACAAGCAGTGAGTTCTCTAGAGCCAACTTTGAGTTGGATGAGCTACGAGGAGTGATAAGGCATCGCCTTGCAAGATGACTGCAAAATATTCATTGGAGAGTTTTTTTTTATAAAAGTTGTTGATTCTTAGTCTTGAAACTAAATATGCGCCATTGATGTTTAAAGAGCATTTATAGTAATGAGCCTTATATATTATCCTCAATGGCGCGGACATTGGACAAGTTTACAAATCGGATGATATCTACCATTAAAATAGAGGGACAACATGGAACTTCATTACAGGAAGACCCCCAATCACTAAAGATTACATGTATTGTTAATTCTAGACTCGGTATTGTGGGTTTTATTGGACTGCATTGACCTTCATTGCATGAAAACTGTCAATTAAGCTTGCATTGGATAAGTTCAACATGTCTTCTAGGGCTCTGTTCCAAAGGGAACAGAAGTGTAGTGGGGGGTGGGGGTGTTGGTTTTGTTAATTTATACTTGACTACATTAAGGACTTGAATTTTATTGCTCAGCCTCCTACCCTTTGATGAACAAGGCTAAAGTTGTTCTAGTCTCAACAACGTCAAAGTATTAGAATGAAACTGAACATAGATACACAATGTAAGGTTTCGTTCTCTATTTTATGAATGGTGATGTGCATTTATTGTCTCTTGTTAATTTCTTAATTATCATCACCATGCATCTGTGTTGACTGTAGAAATATGTAAAATATGTTCCAGTTGCTTCTTAACAATATTTTGAGGCAATAACTTTATGAGAATAACGGTTACTATCTGATGCATCTTGCTATCTAGTTCCTTCTTTTCATTTCCATTGGAATGTTCTGTTTTTCAGAACTCTTCTTTCTAGTCATAGCCCTCCAACAGTGAGTTGTCGTTGATCTAGTAGGTCCAGTAGCACGATGAGCAGGTTCCAGGAGCAGCAGTTTGAGATCCTTTCTATCTTCAACTGCCATTACTAAATCTTCATTTTTATCGTACTTGATCCAAATGGTGAGCCATCATTTGGTTTGGTAATGATATCCTTCTTGCCCTGGGTATAACCATGTAAGAGAAACCTTGCACGGCTCCATTGTATGTTAGGAGTGACAAGCTGAGACTCCTAGGAATTATGTTGCACATGTGTTTGTTATATCATGTAACCATATGTTTTGTGTGCCGTTCATATGCTGTTATGGGTACTCATTTTCAGGTTGTGAAGTATCCTGACCTGCCTTACATATCCCAAATGATAACAAGGTCTAGCTGATGAGAATTTGTAGGAGATCGATAAATTTGAACCTGACAAGTTTGCTTCTTTGTGTTTGATTAAATGAACATTTGTGGTTTACTGCCGTGAGTACAATATGCGATTTGATTATATGCCAGGGTGTAAAAACTTGTGCATGTTCATGTTGTCAGAGTCGTCCTGTTTTAAATTTGCCATGTTTTCATATAATTTGAAATAGTGTTAGCCGGAGTTACTGTGCATCTGACCTAAAAAAAGAAAAAAAGAAACTGTTAGCCTGCTTAAACTCTATTTCCCCTTCAACTCTTAAACTCTATTTACACCTGTAGGCAACACAATGCATTTCAATTGAACCTTCGTACATACTGTTTCCTCTTCAAGCAGTAAAGTACAACTGCGATACTTGTTGTGCCTGCTGATACATTGTGGAAGTGGAACTGGGAAACTATCATTTAGAAGATTTTGATCTCCACTGCAAATTTTAAGGCCTCTGCAGTTTCAGGATTCCAAGTGACCAAAATATCAAAGCCCCAGTGAACCAATTTTCAAAAGAAAAATACAACTAATCTAATCACAACTTATCCAATGACTGCAATACATTAGATCTAGATCAGGCCTACAGTATTACCTTTTTTAAAAGTCTCCACAAGAGCAAGATCCGTCCTTGAAATGGTGGAAACAACTTGGATCCTTCAATATGATCTCACGCCCCACTACTTTGGAGATGACCTTTGCAGCATCATGGCAGTAGCGACAAACACGTAGGTTTTTTGTCACGCGTATTGTTGCCCCTGCTTGTATACTGATCAGCCCAAACGAGATGGCTAACATTTCGCTGTGCCCAATTGGAATGCACTCTCGCTCCTCATCTACATCGTGGAGACTAAAATCTGACTCAGTTATTTTACCTACTTCTTCCACCTTCTTCATCAGACATTGTAATTCCCTATATATTCTCCCAGATCTTGGGTGAAATACATCGCCTGTCCCAAACACGTGAACTTTATTCCTGAATTCAATCCAGCTATAAGCTTTCTTTGGTCTCAATCCCATGTCCCTGATGGTCTCCCTCAATTTATTCATCATGTCCCATTTTTCACTCTGTGCATACCAGTTCAATAACAACACATAATTCTCTGGATTAAGAGGCTCCAAATTACATAGCTGCTCAGTAACTCGCTTTCCTGCATTTACATTTTGGTGGATCCTGCACCCATCTAACAATGCTCTCAGTATCTCTGAATGCTGTGCAAGCTGTCGTTCCTCAACAAAGTCTCTTGCATCATCAAACAGTCCAGCACGAGCTAGAAGAGAAACCATTAAGGCACAATGTGTCACCTTGGGAGACCTTATGCAGTTAAAATAGAATCTACCTTCATCAACCATGCGAGCCGTGCAACAAGCAAAAAGGACTGCAACATATGTCAGCTGATCAATTTGTGTGGCCGAGTTTTTCACCATGTGATGGAACAACTCAACTCCAAGCTCTCCTTGTCCGTGTAGACTATAGCCCCAAATCATCACAGTCCACGAAATAACATCTTTTTGCTTCATCCCTGTAAATATCTGTGAAGCATATTCGACATATCCTGATTTTACATACATATCCATAAGAGCATTATGCAGAGCGAGGTTCATGTCAATTCCATTTCTAAGCAAGTATCCATGAATTTCTTTGCCGTTCTTATGGGCTGCAATTCTTGCACAAGCCGGGAGGATGCTAGAGATTGCAATAGCATCAGGTTTAATATCGTCTACATTCATCTGTCGGAACAATTTCAGACCCTCATTGAAGCCTCCTTTCTTCACGTACCCACGAAGCATTGCAGTCCATGAAATGGAATCTTTTGATGGCATCTGATCGAAAACTGTCCGAGCTTCGCTAACGCTACCACAATCAAGATACATTTTCAAGAGGGAATTGCTCACCAACATATCAAACTCTAGACCGCATCTCTTAACAGTCTGATGAACATTCCTTCCTTCTCGCAGCGATTTTAACTGGCAGCAGGCACCAATGGCAGTGGCCAATGCCACGGGATCTATCTCAGCGCCAGAAGCCACCATCTGATTAAACAAATCAATGGCCAACCTGGGTTTATCCTCATTAACGTAAAATGCAGCCAACAAAGTCCAAGAAACCGAGTTCTTCTGAGGGGAATTATCAAACAGCCATTTTGCGGCATCAGCACCATCGAGGCGCCCATACAATTCAATTAGAGCAGTGGTCACATAGTGATCAGAATAGAAGCCGAGTTTGAGAGCCTGCCCGTGGAGCTGTTTGCCGAAGAATAAGCTGCCCAAACGGCGAGAAGCCGTCAAAACGCGAGGTATGGTGTGTCTGTCTGGTCGAACACCCCGGAGTAGCATTTGGCGATAAGTGGACACGACGTGGTTAAATTCGCCATTGCCAAGATGGGTGTGGATAAGATTATTCCAAGCAAAGGTATCTGAGAGAGGGATTTCGTCGAACACTTGCTGGGTCAATGTCGAATGCCGAGGATGAGATCTCACTGCGGACGGTATAGGATAATTCGGGGAAATTTTAAACTGGGTGGTGCTCGAAATTGTTTTCTCGGTACCGAAGAGATACTGAATCTGCTTGGATGATAAGATCAAATCCATTTCCAATTGGGGTTTTCATTTACTTGACATAGCCATGGCTTGAGTTGAGTTCACCTCATTCACTCTCCATTTAGCTCACAACTTTAAATTCAATGTGAAACTTAGGGGTAAGGGTGAGTTTTGACAGAAAAAATAATGAAAATTAACGGATGGATAATATTTTAATATTTTTGATATATTAGCAATGCATGTTGTGCATTACACATAAATAAATTTAAATAATATTATTTTTATAGAAAGAATGAATTATTTCTATAATTAAATTAAATAATAAATTAAGTGCCAAATAATTAATTTTATTTTAAATATTACTAAATTTAGTTATTTATTTACTTTATAAGTTTTTTAGTATTTAATCTGTTATTTATTTAAGTATCTTTCCGACCCCTTTAGATATTTTGATATCTAATTATATATTATAAAATTATTAACTTTTATTTTATTAAACAAATTCATTAAATCACTTATAATATTATTATATTATTGCATACAAAAAAATATAACATATATTTGATCATATAGAACTTTACTTGTACGCATAGATGTAAATAATTGTATGTAAATGTACTATTAATAAATGAGTTTAAAAAAATTTACAATTCCTTGTAAAATAGTACAAAACACGGTAAAAGTTAAATACGTGTAAAAAAAAATTAGGTGAAAGTGTATAGATGGGTATAATTGATTTTATTATAATAATTAGAGATAAAATAGAAATTAAAATTTTTTCATAGATGCTGACATTTATAAGTACTAGTTAGTGCACACGTGCGTTGCATGTGACCAATTTGTTGCAATAAACAAAAAGTTATAATAAAAAATTTATTGATAATTCCCAACATTAAATGAATCCAAACAGAAAATTGGCTCCACTTCAATCCAATTATTGGATGCTTAGTAAAGATCCTAAAACCTACCAAGTTTAAATAGATAACCCAAAGGCTAGCTCAAAGATTCATATTTATAAGAGGAAGAAGTCTCAAATGCAATGAATTTGTTCATTCTTTTAAACCAATGCTTTGCAGAGTTTTCATTGAAACCCTTTTGAAGCAGACAAAATAAGAACAAAATAAATTACAATACATAGTTTAAAGACATGCATGTATAGCACCTTACACTTCCTGTAGCCATTTTCTTATACTGTCTCGTCAACAGTGAAATTCTCGTTGTAGGACAGAGGAGAATAACTTGGTAATTACATTACTATTGGTAAAAACCAAATCATTTACTCTAGTAATGACAGAAACACGAATCTAGTAGAATGGTACTGTAGAACTAATCTAACAAGTCATGGTCCGGTTCAGTAGTGGGTCACTTTTGAATGAGGGAGATAGGAAAAGCACTAATATTATTATTCAAGTGACCAACTCAGACTGGAAGAATATAAGTAGTATTAGTATATAGATAGATACTGTCAATTATTGAAAAAAATATTTTGCCAATTTACTCTTGGCTTCAACCAGATATGGTGCAACACAGACATCCAAAAACACATGGGCATGGTTTAGAAGCAGTCACACATAATCCATCCACAAACACAAGATGTTTTGGTGACTATAATCACGACAATAAAAAACATTCTAGGAAAACCATATTGCGAATTTCATGTATGTGCATAGCACGCTATAACAGAAAATTGAATCGAGATTTTCCATGAGAAAGCTAAATGAAATCTTCTTCATAATTTGTGTATATGAACAACTTATTTTTGGTTACAGGTATATGAGCTAAGGAACACAATATGAGCTTCTTCTTCGCTATCTCTATTGCACATGGATTGCTTTTACGTCATGTATCCTACAATCCATGAATATAAAAGTAGTATGTTAGTCTGTATAACCAGTGATCAACACGTGCTGTTCATTATGAACATTTAATGAGAACCAGAATCCAAAAATTACCTAGCTCATGTACATGTCCATGTCCATGGGAGTGATCTTCATGGCCTTCCCAAGAATGCCACCAGCCCTAAATGGCACAAAAACCAAGTAAAAAATCAATGTAAACGAACACAAAAAAGAACTCAACAATTGTGAAAGAAGGAAAGTGGGGTAATCAAATCACATAATGAGCAACGGAACCTGTAACTAAGAACCTTGACCAGCAGAGGCACTGAGAAATGAGAACCATAACATGGCTTTTGATTACCAAGTGAAGTCTTCTGTTTCAAATGGTATCTCATACTGATCAGTCAAATGGTATCTCATACGGATCAAAGCAGCGGGGATCCAGTGGGGTTGTCTGGATGAACCCCCTATTAAGTTGTGTCGTCAGACCAACACATAATTGCTTAGTGCCTTAGTGAGCTTCCAAATGGGGGTGTTCAAAGCGGGACAAAATCCAAAATTAGAAGTTAAGAAGTGTTTTGATGAGACAGAAGGAACTCAATGAAAGCCTAAGTTCACCTCATGGTCATGCTAAATTCTGGTATGTATTACTGGAATCGTTTTCTTGTTTTTTTCATAAGAATGTTGAATAGTGTCTTGTTGCACGTTATATTGGTGACCCCAACTTTAAAACTATGGTTTCAAACTTAAAGAACCAATTTCGGTTCACATTTAAGAAAATAACAGATGGGAAGAGATGAAAGGGAGGGCGGAAAGGGAGCCAAAACTGAGGAGCTGAGTTGAAGAGCACAAGCAAATGACAGTCTTAAAACATTTCACGTCTTGCAAACAAATGGTGGGTGATCAGTGGTATTATTCAAGCTGGAAATCGAACCTTGATCCTTAAGTTGCCATCCTTGACTGAGTACGAATAGGGAAGAGTGGCTAAAAATAGTTCATGTACTGCTAAACTAACAACAACCAAAAATAGTCGATGATTTATATATCAATACACATTACTACCTCAAAATAAAGTCGGAAACCAATGAATCAGTCCAACCTTAAACAACTAAATGCAAGTCATATAGTGATAAGTTCCCTTCGAACTCATTAGATTACATAATAATAGCCTTTGGATTATAAATGAGAACAATGCATATAATACGTGCCCATAAATATGTTCTATAAAACCAATAAAAAATACCAAAACAAAACTCTCATAGGAATGTTAGTATAAGAATGGAAAAAATAAAGGCATACCTTTCTCTCAGGTGAAAATGAACATAGCCAAGTGACTCCAGATCTTTTGCTGACTTTGCTCTAAAGAAATGGATCAAAAAAATGGGAAAACATGAAATACTTTTAATAGTAGAAGGGTACACAAGAACACCAAGAGTAGCAAGCTTGAGGAATTAACTTCAACCAATAAAAAAAAATGAGAAAAAGAAACCTAAATAAAAGAATTAGGAAAAAACCAAAAAGAAGTAATGTTACTTTCAATAATTCTCAGTATGTTGATGATATATTTTCAATGAAAGGTTCCTAGAGAACATTTTCCCTTACATCACTTATGACAATTTTATCCTATGGAGAAGGAGTTCCCCAAAACCAAATAAAAAAAAAGCTACCTCCATTGAACTCTGATAAATAATTTTAAGTAGGTAGCTTTGAAAGAGTAATAAATTCGGAGAATAAGGATGTGATCTCTCAATTTTTACGATCTTACACATCATCAATCATAATGATATTCTAAAGAAGAGAGCCTCTACCGAATGCTAAAAAAGAAATGTTCACAATCAAAAGATTTACAAACCATTGCATGTGTAACTAAAAAATTCCCATTTAATATATTTTTTCCATCTTAAGTAATTAGTTAGATCCAAAAGTCAAATACCTTCACTACAAACAGGGCATAATTTGAAATACAACCTCTTCTCTGTCTAAACCAGATTCTGTGTCAGAAATATTATCTTTACTCAAGTAACGCCTAACTGCCTATGAATCTACTGTCATCAAGCGAAAATCACAATCCATTAGCAAGTTGTACAAAATATCCACCACTAATTCAACAGATTTCCATATACCATAAAGATGGAATCAACCACTAATTCAACAGATTTCCATATACGATAAAGATGGAATCAATGAAGACGTGTCTATCGTCAAATTGATCTATATCGCCCTTTACAAAGCTCGGATCCAATACCAAAATACCGATGAGTAATGGTGGTACCATCACCTCAACTCCATCATCTTACCCAACTCAGTGTATATGCATATACATATAATACCTGCAAAACTACATATTTAACATTTGTTGAATGGTGGCAGTGGGTTCGTCAACAGAATGAGGTGACCACATGCGTGAAACAATACCTGACCGAAGCATTTAAGGCAAATGAGTAATGCTATTGGGACCAAAAAAAATTACCTAATTTGCAAGAGTACGAACTTTGAAAGAAGACCCTCTGTTTGCGTTCTTGCTTTGGAGCATAATGATATCAATCTTGTTATCTCCTTTCCACGATCGAACCAGAATCTATATTACTACATGGCGGCTGATCTGTTTCTCTGTGTAGAGTTTTCCCATTAAGCAAGATAAAGAAACATAATCGGCAAGGAGAGGATCGGGCTATAAGTTGGTGGCTAGAGCTTGTTCTGGGGTTAGGGATTTGTCCTGGGTTATGAATGGTGGGTTTCCAAAGTCCCATTTAATTGGTGGGTTTCCAAAGTTCCGTATAATTGGTGGGTTTCCAATAGCATCACTCTAAAGCAAATGCATGGTAGCAAGCAAAACAAAAACGACGAACCAAAACATATCGAGTATGGATCATAATACCGTATCGGAGATTTTCACTACTACAAACCTTGGGGAAGACAATTGAGGTCTCAGAATGCGAGAGACCTTTGTTTTCTTTTTCAACGAACGTAAGGTGAAAGGGATTCGGTAATTGGTAATAACCATTGGAGGAATTCGAATGGGCACCGTTGAGATGCAATAGAGAGAGAAATGATTACGTGTAACACATGTTGAGAGCAAAGGAGAGAGAGACGGGAGGGGAAGAATTGTATAGGATTAAAATTTTACTTTAATTCAGAAGAATGAGATAGTTGTGACTTTAAAAGGTAAAAGTGAAAAATAAATATTTTTTAAATATTCTCACATTTTAGAGTAGTACAGATTAGTTGGCGCAAACGTGTCTTGCATGTGAGTCATTTTTAAGTTAAAG